TAGGACTTATTTGAAGTTATATTTTGTTTCATTACATTTTATATGCACCTTGTAGGGCTCGTTTATTTTTGTTATTTATTTTGCACTGTCGTTTAAGGCCTCTCTTTCTCAAATCTTACTCAACTCATTGTTTACTCTATCTGTTTGTCTGTCTGTCTTTTTCTTTCTCTCAGTTTTTACCATATGAAACCATTTTACTTCTCTTTTCTTCGCTCTAAGCGTTTACACGTACATTCAACTCGACAATTCGAATTCTTCATTACATATCTCCAAGAAGGTTAACTGCGTATTTCGATTTTCGTCACCTTACTGAAGTACCGCACTGCGTGTTGGTGTACCGTGTACCTACACAATATATAGTAAGTATGTCACCGTTTATATTCAGTATATTTTTATACGTTGTCCTATTTATCGTACTTCAATTTTCACCAACGAATTTGTTCTAATCGTAAATCTTTTGGTTTTAGTTTGCTTTTTTTAATAACAGGTAAACGAATTAACGATAGAGATAATCAATTTTTCAGAATGGTTTTCGTTATTTATTACTTTATAATATTTCGTATTAGCTGCTTATCTTATCGTTTATTAACTCAATTGTATATGTTGATTTGATTTTGACATAAAGCATTTTTTTGAGAGTAGCAGAGTGGGGCTTTAAAATCTAGTTATCAATTCTTTCTTAATAATTTTTGAAATAAAAAAATTTTTAATCAAATAAGAATTAATTAATTAATCTATTGATTAGTTCTAATTAATGTTACTTATTCGAATGAAATGCCTAATATCGTGATAGTTTTGTTTCATTCAAATTATCGTCAGCATTACTACGTACGTACACCAGTTTATTGAACTTTTCTAAACATTTTACAAGTTGCTTTGGCGTAATAGTCATTAAGTATTATTTCGACATTTCAAATAATAATTTGCTTATTTTCGTGCCATTTGTTTTTGTTCATATTTAAAAAAATTAAATACTTTTCAACTTCCTTCTAAAAATTCCTCATGAAAAGTTTCTGCATGTGTATTCAACACTGGTCAGTCGTTAGAAAATGATGCAAAATCGTCCAATCCAGTTGAGTTTAACTTTAATCAATCAATTAGTTTGTAAAGCGTTATTTCCGCGATGTTCAACAGCGCTCCTCAATGAATTTTGAAAACAAATGGGTCTTGAGATCCGCTCTGAACTTCGTAAGTGATGGAGAAGTCAGAGAAGTAGGTAGAGAGTTCCAGAGAAAAGGGCCTGAAAAAGCAAAAGCAGATTTGGCCAAAAAGTGTTTAACACGTGTTAAGAAGAAGCGAGAACAAGAAGATGATCGTAAACCAAGGCATTTAAGTTCAATTAATTTATCTGATAAAACTTAGGAAATAATTTAGATTGAGACTTAAGCATGTATAATTTTAGGTATATGTGGTTGGTTGGTTTTAGGTATATATGTTATATTTAAACTTATTTAATTTAGCCTAACAATAGGCTTTTACATAGAGATTCTTTATCGTGTTGATATATATTATTTCGGCTCGGTTGGAATCTTTGTCCAGGCTGGTCATTTTGGGTTTATTGCCTGCTGACCTGACTCAAATACTCTTGTGCCGATTTCACTGACCGTTATATTTCTTATTTGGGGCTTTTGCGTTCTTGTAAATAACGAACTCTTCATAAATAGCGATTCGTTTATTATAACGCCTGTATGATCAAGCAATTTGCAAACGGCAGTATATATTAACATATATTTCATTATAAGTTGTATACTACCGACCAGGATGTAGTAAGACAGCTAGTTTAACGCTACAGAATTTATTTTTTAGGATTTTATAATTAGTTTAACCTTTAAAGCACCTATTTGCAATCCTACCTTCACTTACGTTTGTTTATTTGTTATCGAAGGAATATGATTGAAATTAATTATGTTCGTTTGTGGATTTAATTTAGTTAAATTTGTTTAGATCAATTTATTATTATTTAATTTATGCTAATCAATTTGTTTTTAAACTAAAATCTATAACCAGCCAACCGTTCAATTTCTTCATTCATTCTGACTCAGAATCATAACAGATAAAAATTTAAAATTAAATTAATTTATAATAATAATCACAATCACCGTCATCATTAAAAATGGAGAATTATGACGAAGAGCTGTATGACAACGTCTTTTACAAAACGCTTCAGCAACAACATTCCAATCTCTTAGAAATTGTGTCAGAGTCCAGTTGGATGGTTTGTTGGTTTTTTTGTTTGTTGTTAGTTGTTCTATTGTTTGTTTTATAATCTTTTTTGATTACATTAATGATTAATTCTTTTAATTATAATAATCCTTTTATTTAATCATATTAATCTTTAATCATATCAATTAAATTTTTATATTGAATTATATGGTTGTGATGATTTAACCTATGATTTAACTTTTAATGTTAATGTTAATTAATCTATTTGCATATTTATGAATGAACCATGCATGCATGAACGACATGTGTATTGCAGGCATGTAACTTTCTAAATTGATTCAGTTCTTGTTTCTTTATCAATCTATAATGATGTTTATAAAATAAACCTATCTATATTTTATATTCATATAATTAATTTATGTATTAATGTATAAGTTATAAAAGCAACTTATAATATAATAATCCAACTTTATATACTCTACTTGACTCTACTTGCAATGTTTCCAGGTGCTGATCCCCTGCCAGCCCTCCTTGGACTCCATGATGTGGACATCACCAGATTGCATCAGTCAGGACGATGTTGAGTCTCATGTTGTCAGAGCTCAGGAAGACGAGCCATCCGAATTTTATACTTTCAATAAAAAAGTCAGTAGGATTGTGGACGATTCAGCAGAAAAGTGGATGAAATATATATGTAATGTATAATTATTTTTAAGAAGCAAGTCACTTTAGATTATTTTTTCATGTTTCAATCAATTGAATAGTTTTTGTGATTTCAAATGGTTTAATTTTGCATTGTTTCAATCATTTCATCACCATCATCATCATTATCATTATTTTGATGATTAATCATCGTCATCATCATTGTCATTATTTCTTACTATCATGCTTCTTGATGCTACTGCAGTGTAGAGTTTTATCATTATTATTATTTGTCATCATCATCTTCATTATCATTCATTGTCATCACTATTCTTTGCTTCATTATGATTTTTGATATAATTGTACTTCATATTGTCATCAATAGTTGTTTTATTATCACTTCAACATATCCATCATTACATCTTTTGATGTTTCTCACTCATTGAACTATTACTACCTCATCCTCTACTCAATGAGATATGTATTTTGATAATTTCAACATACACAGGACAATGCAACTTTTAAACTTTAAAAAAAATCGCACCATTCTTTTATTCAGTGAAAATTCATGTTTTGAAATTTTTAGATATTCTTTATCTGTATATATTTTTTCAAGCACCATTTCTGTGCTAATTATTTCCAAAGTAAAATTTATTGAAACAGTTTATTCATTTTTGATTGTGTAAATCTAAACAAGTACCCACTCTAACTTAATTTCGAAGAAGTTACTTGGTTGAAATTTTGGGCTAATTTTCTTAAAAAAAAAACACCTCACTTATATACTGCACTCAACCATTCACTTTTTTCTTACTGGCTCAAGAAGTTTAAGGATAGATCAATTAAATATATCATCTCAATAAATAATATATATTAAATATATCTTTATAGAAAAATGAACTGCTCTTATGTGTACTTTCCCACACTGTTTTAATAATCATCAATATATTGTATTTGCTTCAACACTCATTATATTTATAAAGAGATGGATAGTTATTATTGTTTCAGTGCTAATCCTATGTAACAGCCTAGATAATTGTTTGTGTTTGGTACTGTTTGTTTGTTTGTTTTGCTTGTTTGTTTGTTATTTGTTTGCTTGTCCGTTTGATTGTTGTTTGTTTGTGTATGATGGTATGATATATTTTTCAAGAGACAGCTGAAATATGTGTGTCAAAACTTGTGAATGGTGTTTTATTTTTTCCTCATTACCTCCAGGAGCTGACCATCAAGTCAGGCCATGTAACCACTGGCAAGGGCTTTGAGGCAGCCAAACAAGTTTGTATTGTTTTCCATCCCTGTCTATATGTTGCATTAATTTTTATTTCTGTCTATGCTACATTATTTTCTGCTGCTGCGATACAATCATTCATTCAATCAATCCAATTTATGAATCAGTCAACCAATGAACTGACAACCATCTATTGAAATGAATTATTTAACTAAAATAACTAACAGTTGAATCAGCTGACCGTCTATCAATCAATCAATTAATCTATCAATAAATCAATCAATTGTTTAACTAATCAATTAAAACTATTCAATCCATCTGTCAACCAATCAACCAGGTTGACATCTTGTTCGAGGAGATGTTCTACACAAATGAAGATTCCAATTATAGAATCCTCTGCATCAGCGAGCCACTATACTGCACAAACAACAGCTGCAACAACAGCAACAACAACAGCAACAACAACAGCAACAACACCAATCTAAATAGTCGTAGCATCATGAGTAACTGCAGCAGTAGTAGTGGCAGTAATAATAGTAATTTTAGTAGTAACAGTAGTAGTACCTCTGTCAGCAGTACGAAATACAATGTTCCTGGTGTCAAAGAGGTCGATGTTAATCTGAAGCTTGGTGATTATTTTTTTTATTACTGTTTAGGGATATACTCGTTCATTTATTCACTCCTATATTCATTCATTCATTCATTCATTCATTCAATCATTCATTCTTTCATTCATTCATTCGTTTGTTCGTTCATTAATTCATTCATTCATTCACTCCTTTGTTCATTCATTCACTCATCTATAACAATATATTTTTTATATTTATGTTGAAGAGTTGAAAAGGACCAAGAAATCAGTAGACAGCAAGCCAATGTTTATGACATTTGAAGATAGCTGCCAATTATTGTGGGGATTTCCCAGTTGGTGTTGTGTTGATGCGTTGTTGTGTTAATTTGTTGATTCGTGGTTGTTGTTGTTGTTGCTGTGTTAATGTGTTGTGGTAATTTTGGTAATTTAATGTTGTTGTGTTAATGTGTTGTGGTAATTTAATGTTGTTGTGTTAATGTTTTATTTTGGTGATGTTGTGCTAATGTGTTGCAGCGTGGGTATGTTATATATATATATATATATATATATATATATATATATATATATATATATATATATATATATATATATATATGGGTGTGTGTGTGTGTGAGTGAGTTTGTTTATATATGTATATATAATTATTCAGTGCAACAAATTGAGAAAGATAAATAATGAAATGCCTATTTTTTTTTCATTATTCTCCCCTAGATGGCTCCAAGGTTAAAACATTCTTACAGAATGCAGTAGACCAGCTGATTAAGACATTACAAGATTACAACAACACCATCTGCAACTACTACCACAATAACAGCAGCTGCAACAACAACAATCTAAATAGTAACAACAACAATAATAATAATAATAACAACAACAATAATGATAATAATAACAATGGAAGTTATAGCTACAATGTCGATTCCATTTACGAAGTTTCAGACCCATATATTAATGACCTTATAGTTAGTCTGCTTGTTCTCTGTTGTAAAGTTCTTTTGTTTGTTTTTAATTCATTGTTTATCATTAACCATTGACTTAATTCTTATTAACATCATTATTATTACTATTATTATTATTATTACTGCGCCTGTTGCTATTATTATTGTTATTATTATCTTATTACTATTAATATTATTATTATTTTTGTCATTATTATTGCGCCTGTTGCTATTATTATTATTATTATTATTATTATTATTATTATTATTAATTATTATTATTATTATTTTTACCTCCAGAGTTAGCTGTGTGGTGACCAGAGCACTGTGGAGATAATTATTATTATTATTATTATTATTGTAGTTATAATTAATTATAATTTTATTATTCTGTTGATTTTCCTGGACAGAAGAAGGTCCAGTACATGTACGATGCGATGATGAGGTACCTGACGAAAGTCTTTCAAGCCGTAGGCATTCGCTTTTCCACTTTTAATTTGTTTCTTTGTCATTTTCTAATGATCATTTTTTGGATTTTATTCTGAGCCTGATTTTGCATATTTACGATAATTTGGTGGTTAATTAATTGCGCATATTTACTATTATTATATTATTATTATATTATATTATCATTTATTATTATTAATTATTTTTTAAACGTTTACATAAATTTTTTTTATGGGATAGAAAAAAATTAGTGGATCAAACAACTTGGGCCTTGCATTAGAAGTATGTGTGCATTTTTTTTAATATTCTGTACATTCATTTCACGCTCATATAATACCAATAATGTTAATAATTTGATGATAATAATAATAATAATAATAATGACGTCATCACATTGTCATAATCATAATGTGGTTTTTATATTGTAATCGTTATGACAGCATCGTCTTCGTTTTGTTACATCATTCTGTTGTCATATCACATTGCTGTGTAATCACCTCAAAACATCAACCTGACATCAATCAACCAACCAATCAATCTTCGTCTATCGTCCGCGACATCATTACATCATGTTATTATAACATTATCAACGTGGCGTCGCACTACACTACCACAACAACGTCATCACATCACATTATTATGACATCGTCCTGACGTCACATCGTCGCATTGCAATATTCTCATGACATCAAATCATCACAACAGCATTGTTACGACGTCATCGTGACATCAACGCATCATTATGACATCATCGTCACACAACACAATCGCATCAACACATCATTACAACAACATCGCTTCTCCTTCAGACGTACATGATGCATAGAATCAACAGAGTCCTGATGAGAATAGTCTCCACGACAACCAGAGGCAAAGATCGTACATTGAACAAGATAACAAGAAATCTTACCAAAAAAATTGAACTAAGACATCTGGGTATTAGCTCTTTCAATAGGTTAACTTTTTCTAAGATTCACTCGAATCCTCACCATCATCATCATTATCTCATTATTATTGTCATTACCTTCATTGTAAAACTATTGTCGCTATAACTCAGCATGTTGGGCAACGCGATGCCGTAACGGTAAGGTGCCTGGTATCGCTTTTGCGGTGACCTGGTTTGACTGCAAAGAGATCCACAGCTGCTACATGTAACGCTTGTGATGCCTTGTTTTACGTTCATTTACATACATGCACTGTTTGTTTGTGGCTGAACCCTCTGGGAAATATTGAGGAGAGGATCTTAAATAAATCTTAAATAATAATTAATTATTGTCATAATCATGATGTCATCTACGCTCTCAAGAATATTTTAATTAACCTTACCAACGAATGACAAGAACAGTAACTATGACAACAGTAAACAACAACACTAACTATGGCAATGATGTCAACAACTTTATTAACAATAACAACAACTACTACTACATTGAAATGACATCAACCACCACAACACTAACAAACTTACAACAACAACAATCACAACGACAACAGCAACAATCACAACAACAACAACATTAACAACAGGAACAATCACAACAACAACATTAACAGCAGCAACAATTACAACAACAACATAAACAACAGCAACAATCACAACAACAACAACAACATCACTAGGTTCAGCTTGGATCGTGCTCGCAACTTGCTGTCAAGTTTTTGTCGCCTGCCCTCACCGCCCTCCAAGATATACCAGCTGAAGAAGGTCTTCTACTCACTTATGTACTCAACCCCGTCCTCTACGGAGGCCACCATGATTCAGACAGGTCGGTACTTCATTCTTTTAATGAATGAGTGAGTGAGTGAGTGAGTGGATGATAGAATAAGTGAATGAGTGAGTAAGAATAGTAGCCTGGCCAAATGTGTAGAATGAGTGTTATCTTGCTGATCACCAATAAGCAAGTGCAGTAAAAGGGAATGACCTTTAACCTTCAACAGCGGCCGATACAACAGCAGCAGAAGCTGTGACGTCATCATCGACAACGACAGCAACCGTAACGACAGATGACCTGATTTGCATCCTGTCCTACCTCATCGTCCAATCAAATGTGTCGTGCTGGTGGGCCCACTTGACCTTTATCAGAAAGTTCTGCCTCTCAGAGGTCAAGGTCGACCAACAGTTGGGGTCAGTGCTGCTACTGATGTCAATGATGATGATAATGATGATGATGTGGTGACGATGAGAATGATGATGGTGATGATAACGAGAATGATGATTATGATGATGAATGATGACGACGAGAATGATGATGATGATGATGAAAAGAATGATGATGATGACGAGAATGATGATGATAATAATAATAATACTGATGATGATGATAATGATGATAACAAGAACGTTGATGATGATGATACCGTTAAGGATGATGGTGATGATGATGATGACGGGAATGATGATAATGATAAAACTGACAGTGATTATGATAATGATAATTAAAAGTGACGATGATGACGACGACGTTCATTTTGTGATAATGCAGCAGGGGAGCGCCAGAAAAATTATAATTTGTTAAGAGAATAAAATTTGAAAAAAAATTATTGAGAACCAATTTAGATTATCAGTTATAATATGGTATAAACGTTGAAATATGCTGGCCGATACTGTTGGTCAATAAATATTATTTATAAATAACAATTAAATAAATAATATTAAAGTACAATAAATTATAATTATTAATAATAAATAATTATAAATAGGCACCAATTTTTGACCACACCGACAAACACGTGACTGAGAACAACACTGCATTCATCCAAGAGTTCTTCAAAGTAGCATCTTTCCATTTTCTTTTACATTCGTTTTGACTATTACCTCAGCCTATTATTATCGATATAAAGATGCTTATTAATTTTTTATCATTATTATTATTATCATTATTATTATTATTATTTTAGTAGTTGTAGTAGTAGTATAGTAGTGGTTGTAGTAGTAGTAGTTGTGTTTTTTAATTTTGTCATAAATTGATTTCAATTTCAATATTCTAATACCATCTTGTAAACTCATTAAGAAGCTATTATCCATTGCACTCATATTAAACAGTATTTAATTAGCTTGAGTGATATTTGAAATGAAAATTCATTGTTTGCGAACCTCTCTCTCTCTCTGCCTTATTGATTGATGTTCGTACGTTTTCAGTGCCACCTGGTTTTCATATTTCACACATGGCATCATCATTTAACTCAATTTTGGAAAGTTATTTTTTTTATTATGTTACAGTCAAGTCATTTTTCACTTGAAACCAACTTCCAGAGCGTCATAGCCAACGACGTGGCTGCTCTGAAGTTTATGGAACTGAAACTCGAAACTGAGATGGCGAATAACGCCAGGAAAACCCTGCAACCTGAAACTGAAGATGGGATGATCTCCGAGAGGCTAACGTTGGATCAGAAGTGCCATCCTCTTTGTTCGTGTTCGCGCTGTTCACTCATCGACGAACAGGTGAACAAGTGGAACGATGAACATGACAGTTGTGAAACTTCCGTCAAGAAGGCAGCTCACGTGTTTAACAGCGCTGGATATAATGGTCTATTTTGATTGAAAATGTTGTGAATGTTTGTTTAGGATTTTTGTTATAATTTTGATCCACTTAGTTTTAAAGGATGTAATCTACCAACATTTTTTAGCCCTGCACATCGCCAGTTTCCTTGGTTACCACGACGCTGTTGACTGGTTGCTTAGCAACGGATCCAACATTGACGAGCTGACGTACGATGGTTATACGTCACTTCATCTGGCAGCTATGAGAGGGTTCCAAGTTGTAGTGGTTCGTATGTGGGTGTCTATGTATGTTGCTGTGGTTTGTTGTTGCTGTTGTTGTTGCTGTTGGTATGATAGTGTTGTTGATGTTGTTGGTATGATGGTGTTGTTTTCTTTGAATTGTTTTTCTTGCTTGTTTCATCATTAATATTCATGTGTTAGCTATCATTTTGTTGTCATCATCATCATCAGCTGCAGAGTACCAGTCATCATCATCAACACCATTACTTTTCCAGGTGTTGTTGTTGAGCCATGGTGCTGATGTGACGATCGTTGATAGGAACAACAACACAGCTCTCCACTTGGCTGCTCTCAACGGCCATTTTGAGGTTGGTCTGTTGCTGCCTGTGTGTGCGAGCCTCTGTGTGTGCGTGTGTGTGTGTGTGTGTGTGTGTGTGTGTGTGTGTGTGTGTGTGTGTGTGGCTAAAGTTGCGTTGTGGCATTGTTGCTATTTCTAGACTATCTGATCAATCTGTCAGTGCATTTATTTATAATACTTGATAAATTTTATTAACCAAATAGAGTAATGAATGATTATTATTCTTATTTTTAATTTTCAGTGTATTAAGGCTCTGATATTTGTCGACCAATCGGTTAAGAGGTTAAATTTAAATGCAACCAATGAGCATTCAGCAACAGCTTTACATCTGGCCGCTAAATGGGGTTATGGTGAGTAGAAATATGTTAAAGATAATGGTGACAATGATTAAGACGATGATGATGGTGATAGTGGTTGAGATAATTGATGCAAATAGAATGTTTGATGGTTTTAAATGCTGGTGATTTATTAGTGACGCCAACAGACAAAACATTTTATAAAACATAGTACCTACATTTTGAATCTTTGAAAAAATAAACCAATCAGTGGTCTTTTTATCAACAGTTCAACCAATCATAAACCACAACCATGTCTCAATATAACACACTCGTGATCATCAACTAACCAATCATATATCTCAATGACCAACAACTGACCAGTCAACAACTGACCAACCAGACCAGTTGACTCGTAGCCAACCTATTATTCAATCAGTCAATCACACAGCCCACACTCAATTAATGAATCGTCATCGATCAGACAACATTTGTAGCTGGTTAATAGAGTACGGAGCCATGTATCTGACGCGCGATCGCTACAATATGACGCCATCTGAAGTCGCTTCATCCTCGCTGCTTCATCGCATCATCCTCGACGCTGCTAACAAGCTGGCTGCTGAAGAGAAGAAGATAATGGAGATGATGAAGAAAGTGAGTGTTGCTGCAATAATTAGCAATAATCCAGATGTTAAAAAAATTTCACAGAAACAGAAGCTACAGAAAGATCGGCACAGGCGCTTGAAGTTAGAGGCACAGACCTCATCGACGTTGTCGTCGTCGTCGTCACTCTCATCGTCACACTCGTCACTTCATCTGAATGCAGATTCCCCCAATGTCACCCATCACCTCACCTCGTCACTGTCATCAACATCTCCAGCTCGCCATAGTAAAAACAGCACCACAAACTACAACAATAACATCAATAACACTAACAATAATAATTACAGTAATAATAGTGATAATAATAATGGTAATGCTAGCCACCGTCGTCATCATTATCATCACTTCCAATCCATGCCATCATCATCAACAACAACAGCAGCAGCAGCCGATGTGATGGTTAGGAATGGTTTCATCACGAGACTAATCAGTAATGATAATGATCTTCCGAAGAGGAATAAAGCACTCGTTTGTGGCGGTGATGGTGGTGGTGGTGGTGGCGGTGGTGGTGGCGGCGGTGGTGGTGGTGGCGGTGGAGGTGATTACGACGATGATGACAGTATTAAATTTTTTAACAACAACAACAACAACTTTAATAATAATCATAATAATAATAGTAATAAAAATTTCAACAATTGTAACAACAGCAGCAACAAGAATAATAATAATTCTAATAATAATAATGTTAGTAATGCTGATGAGGATAATAATTACATGGGCAGACACCACAACCTCTGTGATAGTTGTCATTACGTCTATCACAATCCTTCTCAAGCTCATAACATCAACGACAGCAGAAATCACATCAATAACAGTAACAATAACATTAATAATAATAAGCTACAAAGAAATTTAAATAATAATAATAATAACAAGAACATTGTGAACGACGATTACTTAATAACATCCAGCAGGCCTAGTTCTCTCCATACACATCATGGCAACAGCGTCTTAACTTTGTCTTATAACTCCGCCTCCGAACACGTCACTATAACAAGTGGCCATCCATCCTCCGTCCAATCGAGATTAGATCTCTCATCCATTCAATCAGAGGCGAGAAGAAATCCCTCCTCTATCCAATCAGGGTCGAGAAGAGGGCACGAGAGTAAAGTTGAAGGGCGAGGTCATTGTGTTAGAGGTCAGGATGACGTATTTAATGACGGGAGCGATCATTTTGATCACGTGACGCCGAGAAGCGATGACGTTGGTGATGTTTGTGGAGAGGATGAAGGTCTAAAATGTAGAAATTGTAACATCATACAAAAGGAAGGAGAAGACAAAGACGGTGGAAATAATGTAAGGAATAATAATGAGGTTGATGTGGATGCCGATGATGAAGAAGATGAAGAGGAAAAGGATAAACGCAATAGAGAATCTGTACTTAGTCAGAAAAATGAATTTGAGTTGAAGGCCATTCCGTGCCATCCACTCTGCCAGTGCAGCAAGTGTAGGAGGATAAACATTATACCTCCTCTTTGATTTTCCAATGGTCAAAATCACGATCAGTTAATTAATTAGTTAACTAATCAGTCAATTAATTAATCAATTAATTATTTGTTTGTTTGTTTGTTTGTTTGTTTGTTTGTTTGTTTGTTTGTTTGTTTGTTTGTTTGTTTGTTTGTTTGTTTGTTTGTTTGTTTGTTTGTTTGTTTGTTTGTTGATTCATTCATTTCTTCATTGATTAACTGATTGATTCATTTGTTAGTTAATTAATTTTATGATTGCACGTGTAGATGATTCCATTAAAGCATCATAGTTTAATAATCTCATCAATAATAATAATAATAATATTCAGACTTGAATGCTCGGTACAAGTAATTTTATATTTGATTGTTTAATTGTGTGTGAGTCCATGAACATGACATGGATAAATCATCATCTGTCCTTGGTTGTTTGTTTGTTTGTTTGCTGGCGTGTAGCTTGTTTTTTTTATGTTTTTAATCCCATTTAATTTGCATTGCTTGCTCTATGTTACAGTATTATGTCTATGTATTGGTATTGTATTTATATAATTTCTATAATAATAATGATAATATTATTGATTGTGTTTATATGCTAATTCTCGTGACTAATATTTGTTGTTGACAGTTTAAGAGAAGTTGATGATGATGATGATGATGATGATAATTAATGTTGATGATGAAGAGGATTATGACTTTTTTGATGGTGTTAATAATAATGTATGATGTTGTTCAATGCTGAAGATGATGATGGTGAAATGATGTTTGACATTTTAGCTCAGTCGGTAGAGTGCTCTATCTACCGTTGTTTTTGTTGCTGTTATTACTCCCTGGTCTGGCTCGAATTCCGTCTGTCCAAAACTCAAAAACTATTTAAAAAGGTAAGATTCCTGTATAGACGTGCATGTGTGTGTGTGTACTTCGTGGTGGCGTGAACTTGCAGCTCTCCTGATACGAAACTTGAAAAGTTCAGTTTCTATTAAATGAGTGAGGGACAGTTCGGAAACAGCTCTGCGTTCAGCAGGACTGTATGATAAAGAAGAAAATAGGTATTCGTGTCCGGAGTGTCAGTCGGAGTCGGAGATTTTCTATCTAACTCCGACACCTGCTTCATCACATATCTTATGGTGGCATCTACTTGATCGCTACAATAACGAGAGGGGGGCAATGAATAAGCATGGGTCTCTACAACGATGAGTTACAATACAATAAATACAACGAATAAGCATGGGTCACTACGATTATGAAATGATGATGCTAATGAGATGATGGTGATGATATTCGGCTTGGTATGATGGAAATGGTGAGGATGATAATCTGATTATGACCAGGTAAATGACCTGCAGATAGTAATGATGATGGTGGAAGGTTTTGAAATTTGTTGCTATGTTCGTTTTGCGGTGTAGTTTGGACGGTGAGGCAGATGAGGATTTTTTTTTATGTTGAATCGATTAGTCAAATACATCTTTTTTTTATTAAACATTTACGTTTTCTGTTGGATTAAATTCAATTAGATTTCAAAATTCAAATTAGAAGTTTCGCTTTTGAGTTGTTTCATATTTTTTACAGTTACGCGCGAACTTTTTTGCATGTATGTTCTGTGTGCATTGTTCTTGTGTATATCACAGTACAATCTTCTGAGGGATGTCAATAGAGTGAATAACATAATACTAATAATATTAATATATGAATGGATATGAATGTGTGTCAAGGTCGCCAACTACTGCACTATTTTAGCGGCAAACCTTTTTCGATGTAACTTTTTCCTGTTAAACTGTTGTTGTCTGCAATTTTTGCTCATCCACCATGTTTACTCTTAAATTAATCCCAAAACTGCACACTCTTGGTACAGAAAAATTAACAAAATGTTATTTTATATGTCGGTAGCTGCAGATTTCTTTCAAATTTGGATTCTATATGTGCGTGTGAATTGTTTTGTGTAAATGTTTGTATGAATTTACATATTTACATATGTACGTGTGAAGGCCTGTATTTATGTGTGCATAAAGTACGCATTTAAATGCAAGTGTATTTTATATTTATTCTTCGTTGTTTTATAATCTTACACTTGCAGTTCATCATAGTCAGTCATTTTGTATTATAAGGAAATCGTTCGTTTCAAATTTTCAAAACTTATCCAGGACATTGCTATTGTTTTTTCACACTTTGTAATTATTTATTTGATCATTTTATTTCGCGATTTTTATAAAAAACAAATTTTTATTTACCTCTCTTAAAAAATCCTCTTTTGTTATCATTCATTCACTACGTACAACAAATGCAATTTTTACTTTCATTGTGATTTCACTCTTTCATTTAGATTATTTTTATTTATTTCTTTCTTTCTATCTTTCTATCTATCTATCTATCTATCTATCTATCTATCTATCTATCTATCTATCTATCTATCTATCTATCTATCTATCTATCTATTTATCTGTTTGTCTTTTTTTCTTATTTTTAACAGTTTTTTCAAAATTTTTTTGTTTAACACATTGATAGAATTTTTATCAAAAACTTTAAAATTAATAAAAAATATTTTTTGTTTTTCATTTTCCAATTTTTATTTATCCAATTAATTTTTTCAATGAGTGAGGCAGCAGAGATGTGTGTGGAGCGAACATGACGATCAGTTTCTTCAGGTACATTCAACACGATTGAGTGATCAGTTTGAAATTGTTGCCGGTTGCTCACTTCTTTTATCGGACAGACCCAAATGTGTTTTTGGCCGAATTATAAATTTCTGTTTGGCGGCCGGCATTTAAATGTTTGTGTGCTTGAATTTCAAACGAGCTATGTTTTTCATCAAACATGTCAGTCGTCTAATGTTATTTTGATATGAAAATAGTTAGAAGCCTTGTTTCTCAAAGGTCTACATATTATTTTATTATTAATAAGGGTTTGCAGTTTGTTCGACAGAAACACTGATGTGCGCGATAATGTCCTTTCTTGTGTCTTATTCAGAAATTTATGATTTCTGAAATGTATGTTCATTTGCTAGTGGGGTTCAATATGCGTTAAACACGTACTCGTCCTTAAACATCCCTGTAGCTTGCCTCTTTAAAATATCCTCAAATGAACTCCATTCTCTATCTATATAGTACGATCTCCGTATTTTAAGTTGTTCGTTTTTGAATCTGTTTTTCAAACTTTCCAGGTTATTTCATTCTGTCCGGATGAACATTAGTTTATATTTCGTAAAAATATGGGAGATGATTAGCTGAGATGCAGGCCCGATTAAGTTGAGCCACAAGTGCAGTTGTATTTATTCATGAAAACTATTGCTCATTCATTCTTTCATTTCGGTCATTCTACCGATGGTGACTTCTTTTCATAGCAGTTAACAAACTTCGATGGATTGTTGGATGAAAATTATCAGGAAATTTAAGATTTCTAATACTTCGTGCAAAAGATGGCCACCTGACGACCATCAAGTCACTATTGGACATTCTTCAATGACCAGTCACCGAGTCAGATTGATCGAATGAACATCAAACATTGAAACTTTTTGAACTATAAGTTTATCTATCGATAACTTTCAGACTCGTTTTTTATGAGAGCGCCGATGTGAGACCGCTTAACTTAAATGAAAATTAATATAAATTAAAAAACTCCTTTTCAATGCTAAGTGGAAATAATGGAATGCGCGAGTGGGTGAGTTGTTGTTTTAAGGTCACTGCGGTATTAATGCGGTATTAAATATAGTATGATGGAAACATCGGACGGTTTCATCATTTCATATGAGTGAACAACTTTCATCCGTTTTACAAACAAATAGGCTCTGAAGTTGAGGCTATAGTAACATATTTCGATGGTTTGTTAGAAGACAATTGTGAAGATGCGAAAATGAAAAAAGCTTCCAGGAGAATTAATTAATTAATTAATCACTGGTGCTGCAAGTTATCTCGAGGCAGGCGTAGTTGTTAAAAAAACTTTCTATCAAAATGTGCAAGATAAACGATGCTATGTTATTTATAAGAAAATATGTGAGTATATATCTATAAATTTATATCGTACACCCACTCACACCCTCACTCATACCCCCACTCACACACACGCACACACACATATATAGATGTATATTATATAAGTGTGTGTTGTATGTGTGTGCGAGTAGCCTATTAACAGGACATCCAGTTTACAACAGATCTGCATTCATTCATGCATACACTCATATCATGGACGTCTTATATGACGTGTATATATATATATATATATATGTGTGTGTGTGTGTGTGTGTATACGTGTATGCGTGTGTGTGCTTGTGTGTGCGTATGTGTGTGTGCGTGTGTGTGAGGGAGTGTGCATACAGACAGATATTCTTATACATATATTATATATATATACTTATTATATATGTATATATATATGTGTGTGTGTGTGTGTGCATTAAACGTTAAGAGTGAGTCACACACATGCCTGCCACATTCATGTGCACAGCTTACATTTACACACACAAACGTTAATCACGTGATCAGATGAATCATCGTTCGGTATCGAAAGCAGGCTGGTTGATTAGTTAGCGGACGAAGGCTAGATGCCATGTTTGTCCGCTCGCTGATCTCTTTGTTTCCATTCTTCGGTGTGTGTGTGCATGTGATCTGTCTGTGTATGTGATGTTGAATGTGTGTGATGGTGAATGTGTGTGATGGTGAATGTGTGTGATGGTGAATGTGTGTGATGGTGAATGTGTGTGATGGTGAATGTGTGTGATGGTGAATGTGTGTGATGGTGAATGTGTGTGATGTTGCGAGTTGTGAGTAGCTTATGAGGATGTTAGTTTGTAGTTGTGTAAGTATGAATGAATAAATGATGTTTGTGTTTGGGTTGTGTGTAATTTTTTCATCGTATGCGATGTTGTGCTTCTTCAATTTAGTGTTGTTCTGTATCACGAACTTTAACTTGTAATAAGGTTGTTGCAAGGGTCACTCAAGTCGTATGTTTATGCCGGTGTGAGTGATGATGTTTTGTTCAATTCTAATGTTGTTTGCATACAAAGTGGTTGGTTGTGTGTGGTTT